CATCCTGATGCAACCACATTATAGTAATCTCATTTGAGCTCTAATTGGGTTTCTGGTAACTTTTTAAAACAGTTACGCTGTGTGCTTCAAACGGTTAACTTGTTAACTTAGTTAACTTATTCAACTTTGTTAGATCTCTCTCATCACGGGCCAGTGAGAAAAAAAAGGTTTTTTTCGCCTTATTCCTGTCCTTTATAGTTGAATAAATCCAATCCGAGCAGCAGAAGAACTGCTTTCAAGAAAACAGATCCAGGTAAAAGTGATAAGAGTTTAGACTGTACAGACATCGGCATGCTTCAAAACATGCGAGAAGAATCTGAGGCTGCTGTAGTTATGCAAGCCTTAGATAGAGACATGAATAACTTGAAATGGAAAGAAATCCTGAGAGCTAGACGGGAAAACCATAACAAGATCGGACTAAATTTCACATTGCGTCTTTAAATGCCATGGGCAAGGGATTGGTTTTAGCAGTTGGTGGACTTGTTTCAGATGTCCCCGGGCCTCGGTCTGTCTGTGTTTACTCACAGAATGTTCCTGAAATAGGACGCAGGGTTAAAGCATTGCGGTAACTGTTTTCATATTCATGTTAATCACTCCAATTTCCTTTTCTCTTAGTGACCAAACAATGTGCAGGACTCTCTATACAGGTAAAGCAGTGTTTATACTTCACAAACAACATGATTGTCACCACCTGTGGTTGCTAGGTCATTACAGTGTCAGCATTACACATCTAAAAAGCACTGCAAAAACACAATTTAGCCAATTTACTTTTTAACTCAGTTTTTGCCTCAAAGGATTTAATCTATAAATTATGTGTGTGTGTGTATGTATGTGTATATATATTTGGCCGAGATACAACTATTTGAAAATCTTTAAAAAAAAAATCAAAATATTGAGAAAATCGCCTTTAAAGTTGTCCAAATTAAGTTCTTAGCAATGCATATTACTAATCAAAAATTAAGTTTTTATATATTTACAGTAGGAAATTTATAAAAAAATTATGTCGTAATAACGAGATATGTCGTTTTAACCACATATTTTCTCGTTAAAACGACATCTTTTCTTGTAATAACGAGATGTTTTCTCGTTAGAACGACATATTTTCTCGTAAAAACTAGATATTATGTCGTTAATACTACATAATTATCTCGTTAAAACGACATCTTTTCAAATTTTAATTTAAAAATAACCGTTTTGATCTGATCATAGCCTAAACGAGTCATGGGTCTGATTGCAGTTATTGGATAGCACTATATTGTAGACAGATTGGAGATTAATCCTAATAAACATGCCGCTACAAATAAAACCATTACATTAAAATACATTTAAAACAGTGTATTTCAATAATTTCAGCAGCGTGCAGATCCTCGTTTATGTCAGACTGTGGCGACAGCAGCGCGGACAGTCGCTTAGCTCGCTCACATAATGTACCATATATATCTATAATAACGGGAAAACATATAGTTTTTATGACATATGTCGTTATTATGAGAAAAAATGTTGTTTTAATGGGAAAGATGTCGTTTTAATGAGACAAGTATATGGTTTTTACGAGAAAAGATGTCGTTTTAACGAGAAAACATCTTGTAATTACGAGAAAAGATGTCGTTTTAACGAGATAATTATGTCGTATTAATGACATAACATCTCGTTTTTATGAGAAAAGATGTCATTTTAACGAGAAAACATCTAATTTTTATGAGAAAAGATGTCGTTTTAATGAGAAAACATCTCGTTATTACGACATAATTGAGTGGAAAAAAATATGTGTGTGGCAGCAATGCATCACCGTACTTTTATATCTCTTTTTATATCTGTTTTTTTTTTTTTGTCAAATACGTTTTTATTCAGTCGTCGAATAGCCTTGCAATATTCACAAGATCCAGGATTCATTTTCTTATATGCACATAATAAACAAATAAAAAAATAAAAAAAAACTTAAATGCAACACCCCATCCCCGGCCTGTTAATATACAATACAGTGACATTCAAAAACAACTTTTAAGTTACAATTGCATTACAATTATAACATTGCATTAAGGAATATAATTCCTTTTGAGGTAACAGAAGAAATGGTCCCAAATCTTGTGAAACTGTCCAGTTGTGAGTGTTTTTTAAGGTAAATTTAGGTGTAAAGTGGAAAAGTAGAGTGGAAAAAGATCATTTATTTCTGTACTTTAACATATAAATGCACTATATTTCTTGTAATTTCAATCTTACTTGATATCATTCATTTGTGCCTTTATTTCTCATAGCTCTGACTGTATTTCTTATTTTAAACTTTATCTCGTCATTACATTTAACTTTATAGGTGCCTATATTTGTATTATTTTTAATTATACAGATACATTTTAAAATATAGTTATTTCTTGTATTTTTACATTATATCTCACAGTTGTCTTTTCTTTTAAGGTAATTTTAAGGCAGTTACATTTAAAACATTTTAGGTGCAACATCTTTCAGTTGCACCTTTATTTCTCATAATTGTGGCTGTATTTCTTATTTTAATAAGTCAGCATTACCTGTTTTACTTTATAGACATCCACACGTTCGAGTGTTGCGACTGCACTGCAGCTTTCTGAAGGCTGCTGCTCTTCTCTTAATAACACACCCTTATTTACGGAGAGAGCTCACTGCGACTGTGTTAAAAGGCTGTTAAGGCAATTTCCTTCTCAGTGGATCAAAACTAATAAGTGTTGCTGTGAATAAATCTTCAAGGATTATTCCTCAAGGAAATCTAAAATGGAAAATGTTGTTTTTTTTTTGTTTTTTTTTTGTGGTTGTGTTCCAGGGGCTGAGCTCTAGCGACAGTGCGCCCTCATTGCATTACATGTCCAAGGTTACTCTGCCTATTGATTTACCTTTACGACAAGTCCTCGCTCAATTTGACTCGTATTGAACAAACATGGCTCAGTTACTCCGTACAAGTGCTTTGGAGATTTATGCATGCAATTAAACATTTAATTAAAGGTATACTAATAAATGATATATTAAATATATAATCAAATATTTATAGTTTTTTAAAATTGATTTATTTATTCCCTTTTGATTGTATTCATTAATTTAGTTGTTTTTATGCATACGTTATATTGTGTGAAATTAGGTAAATAAGTACATTCAAAAATACTGGATTTATTAACTAACAATTTATTATGCAACTAAAAACAACTTGTATAAACACATACCTTATACATTGTTATGTAGAAATAATATTTAAAAAAGCAAAAATATATTTCTTAACTATATATATATAATTAATAAATTGTAGAATATTGTAATTGTAGTCAATTTAATTTAATAACTAAATTAATAAATTGAATGATGCCATAATTTTTTATTTGTTGCGCTACATTAAAAAAGCATTTCTCAGAATACCATCATTGAGTGAATGACTAATGTGCAGTGATTGTCTGACGCTATTATAGAAACACGATTCACGAGACGTTTGAAATAAACATGCAGGCTCATTGAAGACAGAAATATGACTGACAGAAAATGAGACAGTGATTGATGGGCCTGAGTCAGACAGCAGCTGAACATATCAATTCAAAATGTCTTAACTGCATTAGTGAGAATACCCTTCTGTCCGATGAATCTATCTATCTCTTCTGATGTCTGGCATATACATCAACATGCCCTTACACAATATTAATACTGAATACCATTCATGAAATCTTAAATTACAATCGTGTTGAATGCTGGGAGATGTGGAGCGGACTTAGATTTGAATGCAGCCCGTCAGGCAGAGCGGCACTGAATAATGCTGGGCAGAAATAGAGTGTCCTTACCCTCAGCTACAGAAACACCGTCATGGCCGAGTAGAAGAGAGCGAACGAGAGAGGACAGCAGAGAGCGAGTGAGAGCTGCAGGATTATAAAATAAAGCTCAAAACTCGATTACGCTGATAGCATCAGTACACAGTGCTAACTAACACGATGCTGCCGCCCGGTTTGCGCGCTCCTCACACACACACCTAGCCCAAATAAGCCCAAGCGAGACCAACTTTAGAAGAATCAATGGCGAACTGGCACAATATCTGATTTCAACAAGCATGGCTAAGACTCTCTGAGCAGCAGGACCCATTACTGTCACTCAAACGGGGGGTTTCCTGCTTTTTTTGGTGTATTTCGTGCTGCGCTTCTACATTTTTTTTTTGTTATTTTTTTTTGCGTAATTTAATGGTTTCTGGAAGTTTGTGCAGCTATTTAAAGGAATAGTTCACCCAGAAATCTAAACTGAACATTTCCTCACCCTCAGGCCATTGAAGATGTAGTTTGTATCTTCATCTGAACAGATTTGGAGAAATTTTGCATTGCATCATTTGCTCAATGGATCCTCTCCATGCACTTTCTTCAGTGAAAAAGTCCAGAAATCCACTCTTATTTCTTTAGAACTGTTTTTGCCTGTAAACAGTGCTTGATCTGTGCATATTCTTTTCCTGATTCAGACGAGATAACTTTTTCACTGAAGAAAGCAATGTTTTTGCTCATATTTTAGCCGGAAGCGACGGTTTAAATTAAAACATCTTAATGATTGTTTCTTACAAACACACAGCTTTTCACTTCATAAGATGATAACTGATGGACTGGAGTGATGTGGATTACTTGTGGATTATTGTGATGTTTTTATCAGCTGTTTGGACTCTCATTCTGACGGCACCCATTCACTGCAGAGGAGCCATTGGTGAGCAAGTGATGCAATGCTACATTTCTCCAAATCTGATGAAGAAACAAACTCATCTACATCTTGGATGGCCTGAGGGTGAGTAAATGTTCAGCAAATTGATTCAATTCTAATAAATTTCACAAGTAATTACAGTGAAACGACAAGTAATGCATTGAAATAAGAAATTCTGAAGTAGAAAGGTTAAAATAGTATTTTCTTGTAAAACATACTCCAATGACCTTATACTCTGAATAATCATCTTTACAGTGTACAGTTAAATATGACAATAGTACTCTGAAGGACAGAATGCAAACATGTGTTTGAATGTAACTCACATCAACGATTGTCCATTGTTCCACCACTATAGCGTCGTATGCAGCAGCCGCATTGGTATCGCTCTCCACCCCCTCCTGGAACACAAACATGCTGTCCACAGTCTTGACGAGAAAATCTGCAAGGAATAAAGGAGAAATCAGTCAGTGTTCTGGGTTTAATATGGTGGGTATACAACATCAGTTGGGTCCAGTGTTGGTTAGCAAACAGTGTTGTTATTGTTGACTAAAGCTAAAAAATTTGTAATATTCTTTTTTGTACATTTTAGATGAAAAACTTACTGAGAAACCTGAAACAAAAATTAGGAATGGTGCATTGCACTAACGGAAATAAAATAAGTTTAAGTACTATATTTACTAAAACTGAAATAGATATAAATTAAAAAAATTATAATAATGAAAATGACAAAAGCATGTAGCAAAATAACTAAAACTTATTACAAATTAAAAGCTAATTAAAACTATTAATAATATTAGATTATATAAATAAAAGTTATAAAAGTAAACTCACACTGGTTTGGAACGACACGAGTGTGAGTAAATGATTTTGGGGTGAACTTTAGTGATCCCCCAAAAAACAAAAATCACAATTACAGTCACACAGTTACAATAGAAGTACACAGTGTCAAGATGTTAAAATAATGTTTCAAGAGTATAAGCAACAGAATGTAAACATTACAAGTGTTACCATCAGGTAAGTCTAGAATCACCAGCTATATAAGGCTGGTATAGCTGATACAACTGTAAATTTTGCATAATATTTGCAAGGAAAAAAAATTGACATTAATATCTGTAAAGCAGATTTTTTTTAGAGCTTGATGTGGTCACTGTGAACTGTTGTTAGTTTTTCAAAAATGTTCCATCCATTTCTTCTAAAGAATTATTTGCATACGGGTTTTGAACGGGATGACGGTGAGAAATAATTTCCATTCTTGGATATACTTTTGCTTTTACTTCTGTTAAACCCAGAACATTCCTTTAAAACGTCAGTGCAAGCTAAATGTACGAAAGCACAGGAAGAAAAGGGACGTTAATTATAGCGGGATTTCTAGGTGATCAAAATATAACTAGAGAGAGAGTATGTGCGGATGAGGAAGTCATTTGAAATATTTCAAAGAAAAGGAAGAGTGACAGCAACAAGACAGACAGAGACTAATGAATGACCAGCCTAATTAGCCAGCACATCCATGTTGGAATGTAGAACATTTCCGGTGAAATAAATAAAGCTCTTTCAAATGCACATTTTAATGGCCTGATGTCACTGCCGCCCCATGCGGTTCCTGCGTTTGGCCCTGTTTTAGAGTGATCTTTATATATGGCTGGATAATAAGCTCTGCTGAGTATTGAAGATGAGCACAGGGGCGTCTGGGAACCGAGTTATTTCTGCTCGGTGTCCTCTCATGGCCCAAGAGCTTCCTTATTAGCCTTCCTCCATTTACACACTAATACTGTTTGTGCTGCCCCTGTCTGCTCTGGGAGACACTCCAGATTACATTATAGGGGGGCTGAGGGATGGGCGACCGTGGGCCGGCCCCGATGGGAAGGGGTTTTTCTCGGGAAAGGGAGGGGACCGGTGTCTGTCGCCTGCATCCTTCCATCAAAAAAAACCTATTTAAGGCTGCACTTACTCAATTGAAGGCATCTCACCGGCCTTTCAAACAGAGCCATTGTTCTGGCCACCTTGCATCAGATGTTCCCACTAGGGATCGTAATTGGAAAAGTCCACTCGGGAGATTGCCTCAGCTGTCGAGCCCGTCTGGACGGACAGCGATGTCTCAGGTGAGCGACTCCCGACAGGGAGATGCGCCAAACGTGGGCTCAATAAGCCGTCGGGTCTGTGGGAGGCCCGTTTATGGAGATTGACGGCAGAGAGATTGTCCGTTTGATGGAGTGAGACTGCCGGAGTATGTGGAGTTAGTCTGGCCAGGTCATGGTGACTGATAGCGTTCAGGTTTAAGTGTGTGCCCGAGAGAGCTGCTAATGCTCAAGACAGCTTATGTATATTTTACGACGTGGGGCAGAAATGGGATGAGACCGGGTGGAGGATGTGAACATATTAAATGTCAATCACTTGAGCAGACAAACTACTTCAGAGAAGCTTTACTGTGCTGACAGTGATGTAAAAGCATCTTTGTTAAAGGTTAAATGTTTGATTTCTACATCAGCTACCAGCACCAAACAAACGCAAAACTAATGATTAATTAACGTTCTGTCTATCAGTTGTTCTATAGTTCTATCTATCATTCCGTCGTTCTGTCTACCTCTCCATAAACTTGTCTGTCTGTCTGTTTGTCTGCCGTTCTATCTATAGTAATATAATTTTATCTGCCATTGTTTATATCATTCTTTCTATTATTTTATCTTTCTATCTAGCTGTCCATCCATCTGTCTGTCTGTCTGTCTGTCTATCTGTCTATCATTCTATCGTTCTGTTGTTCTATCTATCTGTCTGTCTTTCTGTCCATCCATCCATCATCTAGATTAATATAAACCCCTTAACCATTGAATCTTTTTCTCTATCTATCTATCTATCTATCTATCTATCTATCGATCGTTCTATCATTCTATCTATCTGTCTGTCTTTCTGTCCATCCATCCATCCATCCATCCATCTATCTATCTATCATTCTGTCGTTCTGTTGTTCTATCTATCTGTCTGTCTTTCTGTCCATCCATCCATCCATCATCTAGATTAATATAAACCCCTTAACCATTTAATCTTTTTCTCTCTCTCTCTCTCTCTCTCTCTCTCTCTCTCTATCTATCTATCTATTGTTTCTGTCATTCTATCTATCGTTCTATATCGATCTATCTACTGATCTACCTATCTATTTGAAATCTACTTCATTACATTCAAATTTGAACTGGAATTTTTTTATATCAAATTCACGATCTAAATTGGAATTTCAAAAGCGTTTAAAATTCCATTTTGAATGGCGCTGATGTCCAGAATGAGACCGAACACTCAGAAGAGGAGTGACATCTGTATTTAGCTGCAGTGTGAATACGCTCCATAAGACCAGGTACGTGTATTAAAAAAACTAAATAGGATCAATTTGGATTTCATGTTGACTTTAACATTTAAAAAATGACGCTCTTCACTTTAATGCCGTGAATAGGTGTGTCTGTCATTCTCTCTCTCTCATGGACCTGTTCAAATGCTTCCATTCATACTCTGATTCTTTTGTGCATCAGGACAATGACAGTGGAGGTATCTCCAAAATCCCTTTCATAGCGAGATAATACCTTATTGGAAATTCATACGCTGAATATCTGTGCCTTCGTGCATCTGAATATAGGCAGAACAGCATGAATAGTCAGGTGCATGAATGTGTCGCAGCTGCGGGTGGATATTCTTTTCTGAGGAAGGGGAAATTCGCACCGGAGCAAAAGTCAGACAAAAGAAACCTTTTAGTCAACATTGTTGGCGTCTATTCAACGGGAGCTAAACCTGGAACGGCGATGAGCCTGTGGCCCACCGTGTTGCTCTCCTGTGGAGCGTATGAATCTTTAATCGCGGACTCATAGCGGTGGCGTTGAGCTGCAAATTCAATCCTGGCCTGATGGGCGGCACTGGCACGCCACACCCATCGCATTAAAACCCAACTCCTGCCTCCCACCTTCTCTCACCATGGAAACCTGTCTCTAAGGGCGAGAGAGGCGAAAGGAAAGCTTCCTTATAAAGGACATTCTCCTGGATAACTTCAATGTCAGTGAAGCAAAGCTAGACGAGGACACAGGCGAGGTGCACAAGTAAATCAGTGGAGCAGAACGCCACACCAACAGCATCGACAAAGAGCAGAATCCATCAGGAGACTTTAAGCTGCCACAAAACCCCCTTCCACCCCTGGACCGGTGGATAAACTCATATCAAAGCCACCTGGAGGGCAGTTTCTGAAGATGGAGGAGGAGGAGGCCATGCCACCGCTGATCTCCTAAGACTATCATTTTGATCTTCTATCAAATAGGACCACAAATCTCACAAAACCTGTCAAGAACATGTCCAGGTCATTTTTCACCTCCAAAATCAATAGAAAGAAGTATTTTTTTCAACAACATGATGCCTACAGTATTTCAGAATCATTCAGTATTTGACAAATATTCACGACAATTAAACATACTTTCCACGCAAATTCTCATTACCATAATACAAACAAAAACCTGTAATGCAAATGGTGTTATTTTTAATATTTTGAATTAGCTTTTATTTTTATGCATTCAGTTTAATTTCAGTTTACACTTTATTTAAAGGTGTCCTTGTTACAGTGTAATTATAAATTTAAGTACTGAGTAATATTAATTAACTACATGCATGGTTAGGGTTAAGGATTAGGGTTTGGTTTAGGGTTACTTGCATGTAATTATGCATCTGTGTATATATATTCTAATAGAAATGGAAATTTGGGGGAGAAATTTGCTTAACTCTCATGAAAATAGTGTCACAATGCAAAAAATCTTTACAGTCTTAAAATGAGCTTCATTATTTTTATGCAGAATATGATTAGTGTAAATACATTGTGAAGGAAAGCATTGCTATTACCCTTGCAAGGTTTGCGGCATGAATTTGACTATTATTTCCTGTTGATTATGGGGTGAAACGTGACCTTGGCATGTTTTGGAGAGATTCACCCAGAGAATCTGTCTGTGATGGGCTTGTGTTATCTGTGTGTACGTCCCTCCTCACATATTCCGGACGTGTTGATGTTACAGCGAGAAGACACTGTGGGAGTGCATCACCATGGAGTTCTCATTATGCATTCGCAGGCCAGACTCAAAGAGGAGCTAAATTTGGAGAGATCTGGCCCATGTGCTCACAGGCCTGATAATGAATGCGTCTCCAGCCTTTATAGAATAGTAAGTATATGTAACGTGTAACAGGGACACCTTAATATAAAGTGTTACCCAGTTTAAATTTTAGTAATTTTATGTGATTTGTCATTTTTATTTTGTTTAAATATTTGTATTTATCTTTAATTTATGTTTAATTTAACTTTTAATTTTTAGTGATTTTAGTACTTCAAATGATTTATTTTGGTTAGTTGCCAAGGCAACATTTGTAATTTAATTTAAGATTTTTAAGTTCAAGTTTTTAATCTAATATTTATTTCATTTTAGTTCA